CCCCCCCCCTTTTTTAACTCCCACAGACATTATTTTTACTTTTTTATATATTCACTCATCATTTGCATTGCTGTCTTGTTTGCCACTTTCTTTGCTCTTTCTTTATTCTTCCTTCTTAGACCTTGCATGTGGTATGTTCCTTCTGCTTTTAGAACCTACTTTAGAGAAGGTCTTTTCATGACTAATTCTTTGTCTGCACATGTCATTTCATCTTTTTTATTTGAAAGACAGTGTTTCTGGGTGTGAAACTCTAAACTCGCAGTTCTGGTTTTTTTTTCCATCATGTTGAATATATTCTTCCTGTTTTCTGTTTTCCTTGTTGCTGTTGAGAATTCAGCTACCATTTAATTATGGCACGTCTGAACTTAATCTGCCTTTTTTTTCACTTGCTGCTTTTAAGACTTTCTCTTTGCTTTACTTTCCTATAATTTTCTTTCTTTTAAAAATGATGTTCCTTGGTGTAGATTTATTTGTACTTATTTGCTTGGAATTTGCTAGAACTCATGAATCTGTGGTTTGGTGTCTTTCATCACTTCTAGAAAATACCCAGTCCTTATCTCTTCAAATATTATTTCTGCCCCTCCTTATTTCCCTTCTTCTCAGAGTCCTATTGTATATCAGACTTTCTTCTATACCTTGTATATTTCTCCTTTTTTTTTTTTTTACATCCCAGCCTTTTCTCTCTCCAATGCTTGTGATCTAGATAATTTCTCCTCTTTGTCTTCCTCCTCACTAATTTTCTTCTCTGTTTTGTCTAATCTCCTGTCAAATTCATCCAGTGAGTTTTTATTTCAGCTACTGTTTATTTCCTCTTTCAAATATGTCATCATTTTTATAGTTTCCTATTCCTTGCATATATTTTCAAATTTTCAAATGAATTTTAAAACATATTGAGCATAGTTGTTTTAAGGTCTGTGTCTGTTAATTTCAGCATCTGAAGTCTATGTGATCCTATTTCTACTCTTTGTTGTTTTAATAGTTCCTGTGTGTGTTGAACAAGTCTTATTTTCTGTAAGTATCTTTGACTGCTTGCTAGATCATTACCCTTGAAAAATTAATCATGACTGTGTTTCACAGCCTAAGCTGGATATGCTCTCATCAAGACAGGTTTTGAGTTTTCTTCTGCCAGATCCTTAAGAGCTTATTCCGTCAGGATTATCTCAAAGCAAGGTTAAGATTGGAAAGTTTCTGTTCCACTTAGGCTATGCATACCCAGGGTGCAAATCTGTGCAAGTGTCATCCTGAGGCCACAGCCTCCTAGGGAAGTCTCTTATTTTTCTTTTTTCTTTCCTTTTCCTCTCCCATTCAGTAGGGATCCAAGAGAGACTTCTCAGCAGTAAGGTGAGGAGAGTGGAGGCATATTAAGATATCATCTATAGGCTGAAGAGCTCCTGAATTTCGGACTCACTTAACCAATTAGGGATGTCTACTTGGATCTCAAACTTACCATGTCCAAAACCAAATTCCTGTTACTCCCTAGATCTGCTCCTGAAATACTCCTCTTAATATCAAGAAGTGGAAACTCCACATTCAATCTGTTAGGAAATCTTGTGGGCTGGATCTTCAAACTATATCCAGGATTTTGCCACTACTCATTACCTCTATTGCCAACACCTGGTGCAAGCCACCATCTCTCTCTCTCTCTCTCTCTCTCTCTCTCTCTCTCTCTCTCTCTCTCTCTCTTCTTAATCATTACAAATGCCTCCTCATTGTCTCCCCATTGCCTTTGCCCTTCTCAGTCTATGCTCACATCAGCACCCAATTAAAACATGGATCAGATCATGACACAGTCTTCTGGTCAAAATCCTCCCATGAGACTTGTAGAATATAAATGCCAAAATCCTTACCATGACCCAAAGACCCTGCATTGACTGATTTTACCTCCCCATGACTCTGCCCCAAACACATTTATTGGTCCTTGTGTACACTGGATATAATGTTCGCTCAGAGCCTCTATGTTTACTGTTTCCTCCTCTTGGAATATTCTTCCTCTAGATACCTAAATGGTTTGCTTTCTCACCTCCTTCAAGCAATGAGGTTATATATTCTTTGGTTGCATGTCATGTGAGGTGAATCCTCCCGTGTTCTCCATATTCAGTGGCACCCTCGAACACTGTCTATTTCCTTTCTCTGTTTTATTTTCCTCCCAAAACTCATACCATTTTATTTACATACATATATACATACTAGCATACATGTGTATATATTTTTTCTCCTACCACCAGAATGTATGCTCCATGAAGACAGGAATTTTTGTCTGTGCTACAACGGAGTCAGACACACAGTGGTCATTAATATGTGTTGAATGAAAGAATGTCGTATTTGAGGTGCTTGTGTGTCATCCACTCAGGGGTGCCTAGTAGGAATTTGGATATACAGGCATGGAGCTTAGAAGGGAATCTGAAGCTAGTTACAGAGTTGAGATTCTTTAGGTTATAGGGGTGACATGACATCGGCTGAAATAGTGAGAATGATAGAACTCTGTAGAACACTTACATGAGAGGGATAGGTGGAGAAAGAATGACTTAGGAAGTGATCCAGGGTCACAAGGTAAACCTGGAAATAATTGATCCTCTGAAGCCGAGAGAGGAAAAATTTTCAATAGGGAAGAAGTGTTAGCTGTGTTAGAGTCTTCAGTAAAGGAAGATGAGGACATAAAATCTAAACCCCAAACATTCCTGAAGGCTCAGGAATAACTATCCCACATTCTGATTTAAAGTATTTTGAAATGTTAAATGTTGATATTTGTAACTCTGACTACTGTTGTAATTGTACCAAATATTTTGTAACTTGCCTATTTAAATTTCTTTGGAGATCCATTTTATCAAGGTGGTGAAGAGTACACTGAACTTGTTGCAGACGTTTAGCTTATGGTTTCATTCGTGAGTGGTAGCATTTAAGTATTTTTTAAAGTTTATTTATTTATTTTGAGAGAGACAGAGATAGCACGAGTAGGGGAGGGCCAGAGAGAGAAGGGGAGAGAGAGAGAATCCCAAGCAGGTTCCGCACTGTCAGCACAGAGCCCCATGTGGGGCTTGAACCTGTGAAGCCGTGAGATCATGACCTGAACCAAAACTAAGAGTCAGACACTTAACAGACTGAGCCACCCAGACACCCCCATGAGTGGTAGCATTTACATCAAATTGCCTTGCAGGTTATTATCAACATTTGCAAGCACTTTCACTGATAAGAGTTGACTATTTCATGTGTACTATTTTGTAAGAGCCATGCAGCAATATGATAGATATACTTACTAAAGTTATCACTGTGTACATTTCAGGTAACTAATGAGATCGTGCGACAAATGATGGAAATGGAAGGAATGTATAGCTTAGATAAGCCTGGAGACTTCACTACTATTGTTGATGTGCAGCTCATAGCAGCAATGATCCACCCTGGAGGTGGTCGAAATGATATTCCACAACGTTTAAAAAGACAGTTTACTGTGTTTAATTGCACATTGCCTTCAAATGCTTCAATAGACAAAATTTTTGGTATGACTGTTCTTGGTGTTACATTTTTTTATCCTCTTACATAATGGACATAAGCCATGCAAAACCTTATTTAAGAGATAAAAAGGCTCTGTCTGAAGTAGGGATTAAGAATCTGAAATTGAGAATTAAATACCAGAAAAGAGGGACTAAATATTAAGAAGACTCATGTTTATAGTCTATTCTAAAACTCAGGAATATTTAGAAATAGCCTTGTTGAAGTTTGACTTTGGTGTAAGCAAACATTTGTGTTTTTGTTTTGTTGACACAATCAGAGAAATTTGGGCTAATGAATGACAGCACATGTATTATAGGTTAACAATGTAATATATCAAGTCAAATGTAGCACTTTGATATGTTAATGAAATGGGAATTTTGATAACAAATTTATGCTCATATAAACTATTTCATTAAAAATTATATATATGAAGACATACAAGAGAAACAGACCCATGTATATATGGACATTAATTGGCATTGCAGGTGCTGTAGATTAGAAGGGAAAGGGAAGACTTTTAGTAAATGGTACTGGGACTTTTTTAGTAATTGTTATGTGAAAATAATTGAAATTGAACCCTTACCTCACACCAAGCATAAAATCAATACAGATGGATTAAAGACCTAAATATAGAAAGCAAAGATATAAAATATTTGGAAGAAAATATCTGCATGACAGCTGAGTAGGAAAAGAAACTCATTTATTTATTTATTTGCTTATTTATTTATTTATTGCTTATTTATTTATTTTGGGAGAGAGAGAGAGAGAAAACACAAGCAAGGGAGGGTCAGAGAGAGTGGAAGAGAGAGAGAATCCCAAGCAGGTTCCATGATATCAGCACAGAGCCTGAAGTGGGGCTTGGTCTCATGACCTGAGCTAAAATCAAGAGTCAGACACTTAACCCATTGAGTCACCCAGGTGCCCCTGGAAAGAGCTTGTAAAATGAGACTCAAAAAGCAGAAGCCATAAAAGGAGATGACAAGTTTGACTAGATTAAAATTAAGAAGTTTTGTTCATTTAAAAAGCAATATTGAAGAGTGAAAAGACAAGCCCCAAAGTGGGCAAAGATGCAAAGATGCAAATTTAAAACACCAAGGAAAGGGGCGCCTGGGTGGCGCAGTCGGTTAAGCGTCCGACTTCAGCCAGGTCACGATCTCGCGGTCCGTGAGTTCGAGCCCCGCGTCAGGCTCTGGGCTGATGGCTGAGAGCCTGGAGCCTGTTTCCGATTCTGTGTCTCCCTCTCTCTCTGCCCCTCCCCCGTTCATGCTCTGTCTCTCTCTGTCCCAAAAATAAATAAAAACGTTGAAAAAGAAAAAAAAAAATTAAAAAAAAAACAAAACACTAAGGAGGGGCGCCTTGGTGGCTCAGTTGGTTAAGCATCAGACTCGATTTTGGCTCAAGTCATGATGTCATGATTTGTGGGACCAAGCAGTGTATTGCGCTCCATGTTGACAGGGTGATGCTTGCTCAGGATTCTCTTCCTCCCTCCCTCTCTGCCTGTCCCATGCTCATGCACGCATGCTCTAGATAGATAGATAGATAGATAGATCACCAAGGAAATAACATTTTATACCCACTTGATTTGCAAAAATGAAAAATTCTGACAAAATCAGGCATTGGGGAGAATGTGCAGGACTGAGACACTCACCCCCTACTGGTGGGTGTATAAATTGTGACAGGCCCTGTGGATAATAACTGGACCTCATTACTGGTAAAGCAGAATGTGTGGACACCCACAGCAGTTCCATTTCCAGGCATATGCCAGTTTATCATTTGTTTCCTTTATGATTTTCACTTTCTGACTTTCATTTAAGAAGTCCTTTCCTATCCAGCAGTCATGTAGATATTGTCTTGTGTTTTCTTCCCAACATTACAGTTTTGCCTTCCATATTTAAACCCTTAACCCATCGTTACTTGATTTGTGCCACAAATCAATGACACACATGTTCAACAAGAATGTTTATAGAACAATGTTCATGATAGCAGAAACCTTGAAACAATCAAATATTTATTGACAGTAAAAGCGGATCCATACATAGTGGTCTAGGCACACAGCCTAATGCCATTATGCAGCAGTGAATATGAACAAACACAGCTACGAGCTTCAACATGGCCGAAGCCCAGAAATGGGTTGAGCAAAAGAAGCAAGTCACCAAGGAATATATGATACGATTCCATCAAATTAAATTTCAAAAGTTGAAGTTAGAGAAAATGTTAAAGGTCAAACCCATAAGTGGGCCACCCTATAAAGAAAAGCAAGTCGCGGTATCTTGTTAGGTCAGAGTAGTGGCTGCCTCTGGAGGAAGGAAGGGGTTGTGGACAGCGACGGACAAACAGGGGCTTCTACTGCATCCGGCAAGGTTGTGTTTCTCAGTCTAGTCATCCGTATGTGAGTGTTTGCTTATTTGTTAAACTGTTTTGATTAATGATGAATGATATCTCTGATATGATTAATACTGAAAACTAAACATGGAAAGAGAAATGCTTAACGTCACCCAGCTTAGTTGGTCTTGTAACGATTTATTCCCTGGGATAAACATGTACCTTTTATCTTTTGGTAAGCTTGTACTTTCAATCTTGTTTTATTTTCCAGGACTTATTGGCTGTGGGTACTTTGATCCTTGCAGAAAGTTCAAACCTGAAATATGTGAGATGATTGGAAATTTAGTTTCAGCAGGCAGAGTGCTGTGGCAGTGGACTAAGGTACAGAAGGGTCATTGTCCGTAATAACAAAAAATCTACTATTATTTGGCCTGTTCTCACCTTGTGGCCCATGAACTTATCATCACATCACGGAGTAGTGGGTTTTCTCTCTCTCTCTCTCTCTCTCTCATTCTCTCTCTCTCTCTTTTTTTTGAAAAGACAAATTAGCTGCTCAAATAGATTTATGACACCTTTTCCTTCCAGGGAGCAAATATTCTGACTGGATGATGCTTTCCGTATGTATGAGACATTACTATAAACCACACACGACATCCAAGATAAAGTAGAATTTTGCTAAAACGAGGACACTGCTTTTCTGCTTGTTACTCTGATATTTATCTCAGACACTCACCTATTTCCTGACTGACTGAATACCTGGATTTCCAGATGTTCTTAGCTATCTGAGACTTAAAATCTAACTTGTGTGAGTCTTGAGATGGAGTGGGAATTAGTAAATGGATGGAAGTGTACTTAACAAAATAGACTGGATTTTAAGACATAGGGCCAGTGCCCTAAGCAAAGCTCAGGAAACATATAGCTGTCGCCAAGATGGCTTAAAGCAGACTCGTGAGAAAACAATTAAGTGTAGGTCTGAGGTAAAAACAAGGTGGAGGTATATGCCAGAAACATTCATTAGGCCAATTACACACATCTGGGAGGAAGCTTATGTCCTGGAGACTTCTGGAGGGTGCCAGCCTCTCAGATTCCTGGGTGAATGAGGGAATTTCTAGATACAAAATTAGCAGGGGTGCCTGGGTGGCTCAGTTGGTTGAGCGTCTGACTTAGGTCAGGTCAGAGATCCTCAGGTCAGGACCTTGTAGTTTATGAGTTCGAGCCCCACATCGGGCTTGCTGCTGTCATCACGGAGCCTGCTTTGGATCTTCTGTTTCCTTCTCTCTCTGCCTCTCTCTCTCTCCAAAAGAAATAAACATTAAAAAAAAAAAGAATTATCAGGAGAGGAATTGGGTGTTTCTTATGAAATTCTCTGTCCACGCAGCCCCCTATGGTGACCAGTTCCTTGCATGGGGGCTGCCCTTTGCCAACATACGGTCTTTGCACATGCTGTTCTGCCTCTCTTAAAGTAACTCCAAAAGGAATGGCAAGGGTTGAGCATCTGAAATAATTTTCTGTGGTAAGATCCATCTGTTTTTCCAGTGGGGCTGTTGTTCAATGTCATGTGCTTATATATGTATATATATTTTCTGAAAAGCTTTGGCCTACTGGGTGTCTTTCCATCAAAGCTTTTTTTGTTGTGTAAATGTTTACTGCTTCTATTTCTTCATCTTTCTTTACCTCCTTAACCTATTTTGCACAGGCTTTTGTTCCACTGCTCTCGGCAAGGTCACCAAAGACCTCAATCTTGCCAAATCTAAAGGTTGATTTCTTCCTCTTACTTGGCAGCATTTGACATAAATTATCCCTCTTGACACTTTCTTCACTTGGTTTCTGAAGACCTCATGTTCTTGGTTTTCTTCCTATCTGACAGGCTATCTTTTTAAAAGTCCCCCCTCTTCTTCCCTTCCTCTAGATGCTGGAGTGCACCTGATCTCGATGCTAGGACCTCTTCCCTATCTCCATGCTTTACCCAGATGGTCTCTCCAGCTTCAGGGCCTTAAACACCATCTCTGTGCTGATAATGTCAAAATCAGCTTCCATTCCAGGCCTCTCTGCTTGGCTGTATACTTATTTCTAACTGCTTAGTAGACATCACTATTTAGATGTCCAGTAACCATCTTGAAGTTAATGTGTCCAAACAGAACCCTCAAGTGTCCTTCAATATGACCTTCCCTCAGACCTTTGCCTCTTAGTTAATAGCAACACCAATTATCCTGCTCCTCAGGTTAAAACACTGGTGCCGTGCTTGATCTGTCTCCCTCAACCCCCTACCTCCAATCCATCAGCAAGTCTCAGCAACTGTGCTTTCAAAATATATCCCAAAGCTGAGCTCTCTCTCGAAGCCACTACCCTGATAGATGCTTCCGGCACCTGCCCTCTGGACCACACAGTGACTTGCTTTCTCCTTGCCCTCCTAGAGTCTGTTCTTTACACAGTTCTAAAACGCTTTTCAAAGAAGTAAATCAGAGATCCTTACTCCCTCTTAAAACCACCAGTAGACACCCGGGTACACTTACAGTGAAACCCGATGCCTTGCTCTGGCCTGTGAAACTCCACCGGAGCCGCCCCGCTTGCCTCTCTCTCCAGCTGCACTGCCCTCCACTGCACTGTTCCTTGAACACCCCACATTTTTTGGTCCTTTGGGCCATCATATACTACTCATTCTCACCATTCTTACCTTCACAGGGGCTATCACAGGCATTATCTGTCTCCTGACCCTACTTTATTTTTTCTGACCATGACTTATGTCATTATTATGTGTCAGCTTATTTGTTTACCAGTATATTTGTTTCTTATTTATTGCTAGGCTCCCCCCACTAGAATGGAAGCTCCCTGATGGCAGCGGATTGAGCTGCTACTTACTATAGTATTTTCTAAGTCACTCTGGTGTCTTCTTACAGGCAGCCGGAGGTAAATAGCCATTGAATAATGAATGAATCTTTCTCCCCTCCCCATTCCCATAGAAGCAGCACCCCCTTTTTTGTATCTTTTCCTCAAACCTCCCATCTTCACAAAGCATTTTTAGTTCTTGTATACCACTTCACCTTTACATTACTCTACACAGCTTTAAAGCAGAAGCCCAGGTGAGAAAAGAAAGAAGTTGACAAAAATTGAAAGGAATGAAGAAGGTTAATGTGTGAGAAGGAGAGGGGAAAAAAGGAATTTATTTGATTCTCTTTAATGATTGCTTGAGTTGCCAATAGCTGTCATCACAGTGGTAGTCTTTTACAGCAAAGTGGCAGTCTTTTATAAGCAATATTCACACAGCCTTTATTTCTGCATATTTATAATATAATTTTACATGTTGGTGAATAGAATGAACATTTTAGCTGCAAATGGAACTGAGCAAAGAGGGAAATTGAAGGATAATTGATAAAATAACACTTGTCTTCATTCTGTCTTCCCTGGCTACCTGCTGTCTTAACGTACACTGTGAATTAGCCTGTAAAAATAATGCTATGAGCTCACTGGGGTACTTTTTCAATGTGGAAAAGGCGTATACCATGAATAGGTCCTGGAGAAAGCATATGCTATCCTGAACTAATCATGCAGAGAGTTTACTTCGTATCACCAGTATTGTTGTTTTCACGTTCAAAAATGATGCTAATGGTGTCAATTACAATCTTTACCCATGGCTAGCAGTGCTTCCCACACCTAGTACACCTCAAGTTTATCCTTTAACAGGTATCTCTCCGTACAAGAATGTATCACTGTTACAGCTTTGCCTGTTTGGATTCTGAACTTGGTAGAAATAATAAGTGAATTAGTGTTCAAACAAAGACACAAACACAGCCCAGAAAAGCTACCTCGTCATTATAGCTGCATGTCGGACTTGCCTGTCAACTTATTATAGATATATAGATATTTGAAGTCATGTTGATTGAGTTTAGATCTCCACAGTGAAATCTAGATTATGATATTCAAATATATTGGGAGAATCCAAATATACTAAAGACCTTAATGGAACCTGTGGAAATAGTCCTTATTGACTTTAGAAGTGAACATTCCTTGTTCTTAACTGCAATGGCAACCAACTCGCATTCAGTTTTTTTTTTTTTTATGGCATACTTCCATATACACATTAATATGGTTAACAATGATTAGTAATGATTATTCCCACAACTCAAATAGTTGGTAAGAATTCGGGGGAAAGTGACTTGTTCAAAGCCAACTCGTGGTGATAGAACAGGCATTGGAATTGTCATCTAGAGTGTTGTTCTTGAATCGATCCTATTCAAGGGCTTATGGTCTTTGAAATCCTATGCAGGTTTATTTATGATGTGTTTTTCTCATCAGTGCTGTGACAAAAATACGAACTTACTCTTGGTTTATTTATTCAGCCTATTTGATTTAAAATAAAATTTGTGAAATGAAATAGTTCTAAAAGCAGTTCTGCTTTTGGTTTTATCTGAAAACAAAACTGAGAGCATTATGTTTTTGTCCACCTCTAGGTGAAGATGCTACCAACTCCTTCTAAATTTCACTACATTTTCAATCTTCGAGATCTTTCCAGAATTTGGCAAGGAATGTTAACCATAAAATCCGAGGAGTGTGATTCGATATCTGTTCTCCTATCACTTTTCAAACACGAGTGCAACAGAGTAATTGCAGACAGGTGTATATTACAGCACTTGAATTTAAATGTACTATATAAGAAGTTGACACTGTGAGCCTAATTCCTGCATTACCTACTCAAATAATAGAGTATTGTCTTCATTTGCTCTGGGGCTTGTGAAGCATTGATGTCATTTCCCACCTGCTGGTCCCCTTGAAAAATGCTCTGCCAGTTTGCTCCAGTATTATTTCCACAGGGTATCTTTTCAAATCACCACATCATCAGAGACTTGATAACATTCAGAGGCAAATTTTAGTAGTGTATATTTTCTAAAACGTTTGAACTCCATGTAGGTTTTACTTGGTGAAATCTGGGACATAGGCCGGGTCATTTTTCTGAACCTCAGCTTCCTCCTCTATAAAATATGGATGGTAATGCTGGTCTTACAAAGCATGGGGAATGGAGGATTCTGGAACTAAAGCCACTTGACAGAATTCTTGGTAAAATTGGGTGATGCAGAGAAGGGCATGGAAACCCAAAAGTCAAGTTCTAATTGGAAAGAGGGTTCAGAGAAGCCTGAGATTGATCAAGGAGAGATTCTTTGCCAGTATTTTCTGTAAGTAATAGTCAATGTTATAACTCTCTTGAATGGAGTTATGTCCTTCCTGTCTGTGATGGAGGTGCAGGATAAGCCCTTAGAGGAGGTGGAGGGAGATTGGACATGTTCAATTAGGAAATATGCCTTTATATTTTGCATTTTTCCTCCTGCATTTTTATTTCAGATTTATAACTTCTGAAGATGAGCAGTGGTTTAATATCCATCTTATTCACGCCATTGAGGAAAATATTAGCCCAGATGTGGCATCTTATATCCTTCCCGAACCATACTTTGTAGATTTTCTCCGGGAGATGCCTGAACCAACTGGTGACGAACCTGAAGACACTGTGTTTGAAGTACCCAAAGTTTATGAATTGGTATTTATTTTTGCCTTTTAAAAGAGTTTTTTGACCACTCACCCAACTAGATATTTCTCCCTACCCCAGAGTCCCACCATGGAGTTGTTGCAACTTCTTCATTAGTTATATGTTGTGATTCATGTCATCATACACCAAGTAAAATATTTCCTTCAGTGAAATTTAGCAGCAATCCATTAAAGTCAGGTATAAGACAAGGATGCCTACTATTATCACGATTATTTAATATTATGAAAGTTCTAGACAATGAAACAAATTACCTATCAGGAAAAAACAAAAATATTGTTTGCAGATGATAGGATTATCTCTTAATATAATGTAAAAGAACTTGAAATCTGTTTTAACCACTAACAATTGAGTAAGATGACCAAGTCTAACATAAATATCAAACTCAACAACTATCCTCTATGCCAGAGGCTGCCAAGTTACAGTTGATGGGCTAAATTCAGTCCACTGCCTATTTTTTGTTAGATTTGTGAGCTCAGAAGGGTTTTTACATGTTTGAATGGGTGGGAAGAGAATCAAAAGAAGAATGATATTGTGTGACACGTGAAAATTATTTGGAATTCGAATTCAGTGTTCATCCCTGAAGTTGTATTGGAACACAGCCATGCCGATTTGCTTACTTATTATTGCCGAGGACCACTTTTACACCACGAGGGTGGGGACAAATCGTTGTGACAAACTATATAGGCCACAAAGCCTAATTCTGCCCTTTATAGCAAAAGTTAGCCAATTCTTGCCAACAATCACAAGATAGAAAACATAACATCAAAGTACTTCATTCAACAGCAACAAATATGTAAAACATCTAGGACTAAACATGATAAAACTTGATTAAATTAGAACATCATTCTCCCTGAATTAATGTATAGGTTTCATGAAATTTGAAACGGGACTCCAAAAAGATTTTTTAAGCAGGGTCATAAACAAAGTAATTCTGAAGAGTTAATTCAAAGAGTTAAATGGGGGAGAAAAATTTACGAAACAAGTACATGAATATTCAAAACCATTTGACTACATCAACAATGTAAAACTTCTGTATATTTTTAAAAATCCATAAACAATATTAAAAAGCAAATATAAACAGAGAAATATTTGTTATATTCCAATCATAATCCCCAGGGATAGGAGTTGGTGCTGGGGTTTTTGAAGGGAACGGTCAAGGAATGATTCCATATTGGAAACCAGTTAATGCAGCGAGGTTTTGGGCTTCGGAAAATAGAATGAACCAAAAGTCAACAGAATCCATGACAAATTTTTGGAAATCCATTAGATTTTTTTTAAAAAATTAGAATTACTTTCGAGTGCCTTTACAAGTTCTGCTTTCATGGATTTTGGCTCTTAAGTATTATTTTTCTCTCTCTCCCTACCCACAGGTACCATCCTTTGACTTCCTGTCTGAAAAACTCCAGTTCTACCAGAGACAGTTCAATGAAATCATTAGAGGAACATCTCTTGATCTAGTGTTTTTTAAAGATGCAATGACTCATCTTATTAAGGTTCTAACTATTGAGTATTTGCTGACATAAATAGATCATGTAAAAGCTTAGTAAATTTCACAATAGATGTTTTGAGAGAAGAAATGTGTACTATCAGGTAGTATATAGAAGAGCGTCGTTAGGTTGAATCCGAGCACTGTCTCAGAAAACAAAGGCTTAATCACAAACCCCTTAGCCGAGTCCACCTACACAGCAGCAAATGTTGGGCAAATTGACAGGTTTTGTGTTCAGGGCTTTTGACACTTTGAGTTTTCTTTCTAGAAAGAAAGTAAGTTGCAAAACTCTGTGAATAAATCGTCCTTCCCCAAATTTTATTTTGATATAATGAGAATCCTGTTCCCCATGGAGGAACAGTTGCTGCTTTTAAAAATCAGTTTTATGATTGGCTTACAGATTATTGGCAAACTGATGGGGAAGGGGTGAGGCAGGTACACAGGAGTGGTGTAAAAACAGAAACCAATTAGAGGCAACACCCAAAGGAACATGCTTTGATTCAAGTCTGAAAGGCTACAGAAAGGAGCTGTTTGTTTGTAAAATTTATAAATTGAAAAGGGGTTTCCCCAGGAAGTCAGAACAGAGGAGGGAGTTTTGATAAAGACGAGGCAGCTTACTCTGTATTTATTATACGTTTGTCTTTTGCAAAGTTGGTGAATTTCCAGATGTCCTAGGGCTGTTTCACATTCATTCACTCAACAAGTAGTTATTGAGTACTCTCTGGCAAGGTCTTGGGGACCTGGGACCTTATTATGGTGCACAACTGCCTACGTGATTAACATGTTAAAAAATATAATGATAAAATTAATACTTACCAAAGTGTTGTTACTGTCTGCCATCTGTAAAACTTGCATTAAAAAAAAAAAAGGTCTTTAGTGGTGATAATGAATTTAGTGATCCATCTAGACTTTCATCTTAATCAGTAATATTAATGTAAAAGACAGCTTTTTAGCAATGTCTTCAATTGGCCTACATAAGATTTGAACAATTCCAGCCTTATTCTTATTGAGTAAATCAGCCATAGAAAAGCAACACAAGACTAAAGGCCATCTCTCAGTCTTTTCTACAAATGCCTTTCTGCCCCCCTCCCCCTTGTAAGTAGAATTTTGGTACTTAAATTTTTTTTTCATTGGCAGAGATACAATAGAGGTGATATTCATTGTGGAGCGAGGTGTCTATATAGGTCAGTGTGTTAGACTGAATAACAAGCAGACAATTGTAAACTTCTTTCTGTGGATTGGGAAGAGCAACTCCATCATGCATTGAGTCTGAAAGTAATAAAATTACACACACACAGAAAATAGCTTTGAAATAGGAGATAGGAAAGCCAATTTGTTCTCTCTTTCATGATGTACAAGGAAAGAATTTGAGTTGAATAAATCAATATGAGACATTAATTTAAAAAACTCTGACATATCTCATTAAAGGAAAAAGTCTAATGTCGTCTACAAGCATATGGCCAAAATTTGGACTCATGTAGAGTGCAAGCAAATGTAAACAGCTAAGTTCTATTTTTAAAGAAATACTATTTTATTTCAAAACAGATCTCACGAATAATTCGAACATCATGTGGAAATGCATTGCTGGTGGGTGTTGGCGGTTCAGGAAAACAAAGTCTTTCTAGACTGGCTTCTTTTATAGCTGGATATCAAATATTCCAGATTACATTAACCAGGTAAGATGAAATAAAACACAGCAATATGTTTTTCTATCATTAATTTCTCTGAAGTAAAATGTTCACTTAAAAAGACACAACAATTTGGTGCATTTTTTGAAGTTAACTTTTCATTTGAGTGCAATGTATTTAAGGAGATGTACACAAACCACGGGTGTCACAAAGTAAATTCACCTGTGTCGTTAGCCTAGAGATGAAGAAATAAAACATTAGCACCCCATAAGTACCCCCCCATCCTGTCCCAGTCATTACCCTCCCAAAGTTAACCATATTCTGACTTCTAACCCCACTGATTAGTTTTACCTATTCTTTTTTTTTCCTCTTTTTTTAATGTTTATCTATTTTTGAGAGAGAGACAGAGGGTGAGGGGGGAGGGTCAAAGAGAGAGGGAGACACAGAATCCGAAGCAGGCTCCAAGCTCTGAGCTGTCAGCACAGAGCCCGACGCAGGGCTCGAACCCACAAACTGTAACATCATGACGTGAGCTGAAGTTGGTCGCTTAACCGACTGAGCCACCCAGACACCCCTAGTTTAACCTACTCTTGAACTTTATATCAATCAAATGCTACGGGATCTACTCTTTTCTTGTTGCTGGTATTATGTTTGTGAGATTCATCCATGACGCTACATGTACCAATAGTTTGTTCATTCTTATTGCTGTATAATCTCCCACTTGCTTACATACTACCACAATTTGTTTACCCGGGATTTTTTGGCAAGTCGAGCTGTAATGAATATTGTTGTACATGTCTGAGTATGCCCCCAGAGATAGACTTGCTGATTATGGATGGAGTACATTCTGCTGTACATTCTGCTGTAGTAGGTCTGAGGAATAGTTTTTCCACAGTGGTTCTGCCAGTTTGCGCTTCTACCAATGGTTCATGAGAGTTTCAGTTGCTCCGCATCCCGGCCCACCTTTGGACTGTGAGCCTTTTTTCATTTTAGTGATTCCTGTGGATGTGTGGTGGTATGTCACCATGGTGTCACCGTATGTCACGCGTGTCCCATGGTTAATACCGTTGAGCACACTTTCACCTCTTATGAGCCATCTGGACAGCCTCTTTTGTGAAATGTCTGTGTATGTCCTTTGCTTTTTTTTTTTTTTTTTCAATTAGGGTGTGATTCTTTCTTTTACTGATTTTTTAGGAGTTCTTTACAGGTTTTGGATACAGTTCCATTGTCAGAGTGTGCATTATAAATATCTTCTCTGAGTCTTTGGCTTGCCTTTTCACTCCCAGTGGATCTTAATTTTAGTGAAACTTCAGGTGTCAATTGTGTCCCTTTATTTTAGTGATCTTTGTATTCTGTTAAAAATGTATTGGTTTGGGGCGCCTGGGTGGCACAGTCGGTTAAGCATCCGACTTCAGCCAGGTCACGATCTCGCAGTCCGTGAGTTCGAGCCCCGCGTCGGGCTCTGGGCTGATGGCTCAGAGCCTGGAGCCTGTTTCCGATTCTGTGTCTCCCTCTCTCTCTGCCCCTCCCCCGTTCATGCTCTGTCTCTCTCTGTCCCAGAAATAAATAAACGTTGAAAAAAAAAATTAAAAAAAAAAAATGTATTGGTTTACCTGTGAAGATATTCTGTGATTTCCTTCACATTTATGAATAAAATATACTCCTTTAACATTTAGAACCATAACACATCTAGAATTTCTTCTCTCTCTTTTTTTTTTATGTTTTATTGTTTACTTCTTTTTTTGAGAGAGGGAGAGAGATAGAGGGAGGTGGGGGCAGAGAGAGAGAGGAAGACACAGAATACCAAGCAGGCTCAACACTGTCAGTGCAGAGCCTAATTCAGGGCTCCATCCCATGTGAGATCATGACCTGAGCCAAAACCAAGAGGAGGACACTTAACCGACTGAGTCATCCAGGTGCCCCTAGAGTTTATTTTCTTTTAAAGTCTGAGGTAGGAATTAAGATTATATTTTTATGTAAAAAAATTTTTTTTGATGTTTATTTTTGAGAGAGAGAGCACAAGTCGGGGAGGGACACATAGAGAGGAAGAGACACAGAGAGAGGGAGACACAGAATCCAAACCAGGTTCCAGGCACAGATCCCGACACGGGGCTCAAACCCACGAATGGTGAGATCATGACCTGAGCCAAAGTGGGACGCTTAACTGACTGAGCCACCCAGGCACCCAAGATTATATTTTTCAATATAGGTATGCAATCATTTCAACTCCATTATTGAAAAGGTCATGTTTTTCCTGACACATTACAGTGTCATTTCTTTCCCATTAATCAACTGATTGTGTCTGTGACTATAGTCTGTTCCACTGATTTATCTATCTTTGCACTATTACTGTTTTTTTTAATTCTACCAAATATTTATTTATTTATTTATTTATTTATTTATT